GCTAATTTTTTTTCAGGATTTTGAATATGTAAATAAATGTTTCCAGTGTAATCAGAAATAAACAGTGACATGGTTCACACATAGCTGTAAGTCATAATATAATTTGGTTTGTGGCTTAAAAATTCTTTTGTATTGTAGCCTTAAGGTGATCTTCAGGAAATGGGGCTTTTATTGATAGAACCTTTTAAATGAACCTACCTCCTCATACCTGACATCTTCCCATCCAATGCATTTACCAGTGGAATGGTAGGAAAACGACACTAGTAGTTCTCAATTTACAATCATTTGTTGTTTGAAATTACAATGGCACTGAAAAAAGTGACTTCCCTCACTTATAAGACCAGACCATGGGTGTCAAACTTGCAGCGTTATGTTGCCGTCATGTGATGTATCATGAAGTTTTCCCCCTTCGCGGAACTGGGGTGGGCGTAGTCTGCATGTGATGCATCCAGCCCGTGGGCTGCCAGTTTGACACTCCTGGACCAGACCTTCTGGTTACAACTGTCATAGCAATCCCACAGTCACATGATGAAAATTTGCAACCAGAATCTATTTACAACAATTGCATTGTCCTGGGATTATCTGATTGTCATTTGTAATCTTCCCAACTGGCTTCCAACAAGCAAAGACAATAGAGGAAGCTGGAATGCTTAATGACCACCTGATTCACTTAACTGTAGCAATTTGCTTAACAGTGTCAAAAAAGATCATGAAATCAGGCACATCTCACGTAACAACTGCCTCGCTTAGCAACCAACATTTTGATCTCAATTGTGGTCATACGTCAAGGACTAGTATAGCATAGCACCATCCTCAGGTTTTTCTTCTTATCACTTGGGCCAGAATGTGAAACAGGCAGAATACTTGTCAGTTTCAACTAGTTTAAAACAAAAACAAAGAAGAGACACTTGTTAGTGATCCATCCATGAACCAGTTTCTTAAAGGACTAGGTCTGGGGTAGTGATCCTCTTCAATTATTACTTGTCTTAAGAACTGGTACACTTGTTGCATGTGCAAACTGAAGAAGGAACCCAAGATTTTTTTTTTTAAAAAAAGGTACCAGGATTTATTCTAGTGTATTTTTCTTGCCAAGATTCAGACATCCTGAAAATGGTTGTGAAGGACAGCAGCAGGAGAGTGACCAGGAGAGGGCATGCAAGTAGCTCTGTGTAATGACCAACAGGAGCAGAGACATTGTGTAGAAGATCACTGTTCCTCAACTTCAGTGACTTTCCGATCGATGTACTTCAATTCCCAGAATTCCCCAGCCTGTCCTAGCTGAGGAATTCTGGGAGTTGAAGCCCACATGCCTGAAAGTCGCTGAGATTGAGAAACACTGGTCTAGATTGTGGCAGAGAAATTATGTGGATGGAAATATCACTTTTGAAGCGATGCAGAAAGTATTATTGCAACTGCCTCCTTGTTGGGAGAGAGGTGAGCTTAGGATAATTTCATTGCTTCAAGAATTGTAAAATGTGACTGCTGAAATGTTGCCCACTTGCAATTCTGCAGAATGACCCTAAGAGATGTATGAACCTACCCTTACTCCTTTTAATATTAACTGAACTAGGACATGACTAGTTAAACAAAAATGCTAATTTTAAAACATCGCTAGGTCAATGTTCCTGTATCTGTGAAGGACAGGCTTATTTTTATCCAGAATAACTTAAAATAAATCAATAACCACACTTGGTTTAATATGTGCGGTTTAAACATTTTATTGCTTCAAACAGTATTTGTCAGAGAACCTCCTCATTATTCCCATTCACATATTGTTCCAAAACAGTTGGGTCTTTAAAAAAAAAGTATGATACTTTCAAACACGTGTCCAGCAGAAGATTCTCTGAGGAAGTTTAGGCTGCTTGTTTCTAAAAACACCCTGGAGGAGGCCTTGTATCTCTGAATGCCTCATCAGAGGTGACCATTGCCCCATGGTTTCAAAGGAAAAAACAAGCAACTATAAGTTAAGCTGAGACCAGGTTGATGTAGTGCACGGGTGCCAAACTTGGCAACTTTAAGTCTTGTGGACTTCTGCTAACCTAGCAGCTTGAAAGCATGCAAATGCGAGTAGATGAATAGGTACCACTTCTATGGGAAGGTAACAGTGTTCTGTGCTCCTCGGCGTATAGTCATGCTGGCCACATCAGCATGGAAGTCTCTTCAGACAACGCTGGCTCACTCGGCTAAGAAATGGAGAAGAGCCCCATTACCGAGTCAGAAACGACTGGACATGGGAAACCTTTATAAGTTAAGTTGAGATGCTGGTTGGGGAATTTCAGGAGTTGAAATCCACAAGTCTTAAAGTTGCCAAGGTTGGACACCCCAAGGTTAAAAAGGGTTAAGGTACCAGGCTAAAAACCGGAAGGCCACGAGTACTAATCCTGCTTTAGCTACAAAGTCAGGTGACCTTGGGGCAGCCCCTTTTTCTCAACCCTGGGAAGAAGGCAAGGACAACTACTTCTGAAAAACCTTGCCAAGAAAACTCCAGGGACTTGCCCAGGCAGTTGCCAGGAATCAACACTGACTGGAAGGCCAAAAAAAAAAAGAAAAGAAAAAAGTGAAACCATCCTTTACAGGTAGTCCTCGACTTACAACAGTTCCTTTAGTGACTGTTCAAAGTTACAAAGGCATTGAAAAAAATGACTTATGAATGTTTTTTCACACTTATGACCATTGCAGCATCCCTCACAGGATCAAAATTCAGATGCTTGGCAACTGGTTCATATTCATACGGTTGCAGTGTCCTGGGATTGGCTTTTTCAACCTTCTGACAAGCAAAGTCAATGGGGAAGCCAGATTCACTTAACAACCGTTGTGATGACCCGGGGCGTGGGACAAAGGCAACACAGCCGGAGAAGACGTATAATTTCCTTTATTAGCTTCAACTGTGCCTCCAATGTATCAGTTACTCTCCGGTCAGGAGAAAAACTCACCCACAAACCTGCAACAGCCTTTGCCTGCAGATACTCAAACCAGTTGGGAGGATGCCAGGAATTCAGATAATAGTAGCCAACACTAGGTGAACTCAGTATTTGTTTCCAACAACCGCCCCTCCCATCTGCCTCTCCTTTAAACTCCATCCTCAGGTGTGCCTTGTGAAGGGAATCAGGACCCTTTCCTCCCTCGTAAGCCATGCAACCCACATTGGTCTCTACTCTGTTCTTCCCTGCGTGCCCTAGGATGAAGAGGGGGTGGGCCTTGGACTTCATCTGAACCCCCTCTCCCTTGTTCTACTTCTCCCCTGGTCTGCCCAGCCTGACTTTGCCCTTCCCCAGTTTCTTCCACAGCCAACGGAGCCACTCTCCCGCCCTCTGTCAGCTGTTCATCTTCCCCCTCGAATTCAGACTCCAATGGGGGCAGGACAACTGTGTTACTAACATAACAATTGGTTCACTTAACAATGGTGGTAAGAAAGCTTGTAAAATGAAGCAGAACTTACTTAATCAATGTTTCACTCAGCAACATAAATTTGGGGTTCAACTGTGATAGTAAAACGAAGACTACCGGTATTAGGGCTATCATACCTGACCTGGAAAAAATTCAGATGACTACAGTAGTAGAGTAGATGTCAGCCAAGAGTTATGCGTGATTCTTCCGTGATGACTTTTTCAGCCGAATTGTCATCTTCCTTATAAGCCCAAATCCATCGGGTAAACTTGCAAGATTCGTTTTGTACATGTATACATCCAAACTTGACTGTGTTGTTTCTCCGTGTCGTAGTGTAGGAAGTTAGCATCCACCCGTCTCCTAGAAAAATGAAATATCCTGGGAAATATTAAAAAGGCAGAATATGTCCCCTAAAAAAAGAGTAGAAACTCAGAAGCAGGAACTCACCTCAGAAGCAGAAGCTCACCCCCACCTTTGTTAATGGGTGGGCCATTAAGGCCTGGGCCAGAATACTTTACATAACAAAGATCTCCAGGTAAAGCTATAGCAATTGCTCAAAATCCCTTTCAGTGCATGGACTCATGGGAGTCTTGACAACCAATCAGAATACAATTCAAATCCCAACAAAGGTTATAAAACCCAGGCACTCTCAGCCCTTTCTTGATCTCTTCCTTCACCTTGAAGCATGTGATCATCCTTTTCACTTTGGAGCTTCAAGACATGTGGTCCTGTCCACCATTAAACCTTCCAAACAGCCCCCATATTTTCCAGTGTCTTTTTCCCCACTTGGAACTGAACCCAGAAGGGTATTTCTTCCCACAGTGGAATATATGTGGGCATATGCATAATTTTGTACTTATTTATGTTGTCATGTTTATGTTGTGCATATTGGAGGGGCTGACCCTCTTGAGAGCTGTAGGCGACGACCTTTCACTTTAAGGTATGCCGGTTAGCCTACATTCAAAGTGACGATAAAGTTATTCGAAGTTCTAAAGCGGGCAAGAGAGGCAGCCGGGATCCCGCCACTTGTCTGATCAGCCCTCCCGACCGATTAACCTTAGACGTCGGTGCGGCATCCAGAGCGGAAGGTCTGATATCCCCCGAGACGAGCAAAAAAAAAAAAAAAAAAGGCTGGCTCCGAGTGCCACGCTGCCATTCAGGGCTCGAGGCGTCGGCGCCCTCCTCACCTCTCTCCTCAGACTCCGGCTCGCTCGCGGCCAGCCCGACAGGAGGCGGCCTTGAGGCGAAGGCCGGGTAGCGGCCGTCGGCGGAGCCAAGCGCCGCCCTCTGCGTCCCTCCCTCTCCCTCTGTCTGTTTCCTCCTCCTCCTCCTCCTCGCCCACGGCCCGCCGTTCTCTCTGGCTTGCCTGGCAAGCGCGGCGGAAGTCTCGCTTAGAGCCGCTGCTGCTGCCGCCGTTGCCGTTGGCGGCGCGTCCCCGGAGGCGTCCCCGGAGCAGGGAGCAAAAGCCCGGCGGTCCGCTTGGAAAAGAAGAGGAAAGCCGCCTTCTCCCAAGAAGAGCGGGAGACTGCGCTATCCGGGAACGCCGGCAGCAAATTGCCGCCTGAGCATGGCAGAAGGAGCCCGTTCCGTGCTGGGAGGCAGCCCCGCGTCCAGCCCGCTGATGGGCAGAGGCGGCAAGAGCCACTCGCTGCCCACGCCGTCGTCCTCTTCGACTTCGCTGCAGCAACACCAGCACCAGACGCCTCCTGCTTCCCCCAAACAGCCGCCGCCGCCGCCGCCGTCTCGAGGCAGCCCGCCCGGCCACTGCTTCAAGAGGGTCACCCTCACCAAGCCCACCTTCTGCCACTATTGCACCGACTTCATCTGGGGGTTGGCGGGCTACCTCTGCGAAGGTAAAACGATGCCGTGCAGAAGACAGGGTGCGTGGCGGGTTCGTGACTGGTGTGTGTGTGTGTGTGAGTGGGGAAGATGTAGGACGGCCGGCCTCGCCGCTTCCCCGGGTGGGGGAGAAGCGCCCAAGAAGGGGGGGAGGGAGAAGAATGCGTGCCATTTCCCCCCTTTCAACTCCCCCCCCCCGCTCCTGACTTCGGGCCGGGGGAGGGGAAGCTTGCTCTCCCCATTAGGGATGCCCGCCGCTCCATCTCCTATTTGCCTTGCCGCCTGCCTCTTTTAAAAGAGTTGCCTCGGGAAGGTTCCCCCCCCCCTTTTAAGCTGCGCAATATCTTTTAGGACCTTATCAATTGGGGGTTGGTTAGTAAAAACAAAAAACAAAACCCAGAATGAATTCGTTCTTCAAATTGGGACTCTTTTAAAACTACACCGGGTGTAATGGATGCAAAAATCAATCGATCGATCAATTAATCAATCGGCTTCATTTCTTCTCATGGGGCAGCATGGGATGCAAGCCATCTTTGCTGGTGGAGAGTTCTGCGGGGCTTGGAAATCTTAGCCGTGTATTTTGTGGGGTTTGGGTTTGTCTTCTCAACTTGGTTTTCTGCTTGTGGGTGTTACAGCTCTCCCCCTCCTCCCTCTGCCCCCCGTTTTTGAGGTTGTCAAAATATCCAGCAGCTGATGGTTTCTTGATCTTCTTTCTACCAAGTTAAAGCTGTCTGTCTAAGAAGCGCAAAGCGTTTCTCTTTTAAATTCGCCCATTTTTTTATGTGTTTGGAGATTTTTTTTTTCAAGGGGGAGTGGAAAGCATCCCTTCACTTTAATGGATGCCTGGTACACATTCATTGGAAAAAGTTTTTCTATCACTTCATCTTTGTACGTAAAAGCTTCCCCACTGGAACAGCAAATGCAAAAGACCTCCTCTTGTTTATTTGCCAAACTAGGGTGAGTTTTTTTCTCTCTCTCCTTTCTTAACTCTCTCTGTGGAGTGGACAGGTTATTAGCAGATAAAAATATCTCAGGAAAAAGTAAAGCTTCATGAATTGTAAATGATGCAGAGGCAGGGCAATACTGTCAGTGTTCTACAGTGATAAAGTTTCTGGGTCTTAATAGTGACTTGTCTGAAAGGCTGAATTTTTCTTATCCCTTCATTTTTTATCCTGAGAAAATGCTCCCCTGCCCTTCTTTATATCACAGATAAAATGGATTTTCTCTCACAATATTGCTGATGGTTGAGCATTAGACAGTGGAACTGTCATGTACGTAGCAAGACAGGAGGTGACATTTTTCTCCTTGTTTTTTTTTCTCTCTGGGCAGGCATAAACAATGCCTGTTGATTTTTATCAACACCCAGCACCAAGGATTTCTTGAAAGGAAAGCAAGGTTTTATTATGAGGACTTGCCTCTGAATTTGAAGAGCCCATCGGGATGTTGCACCCATTGCAGAATACAAGTTGAGATACAAAGGTTTAACTCCTTTCCTTTACATAAATTTGAGGATCAATCAAATATGGAACAAAGGGCAGTTTTAAAGCCAGATTTGTACTTGATCAATCATTTCAGAGGAAGTAGCAGCTATTTATAGAGATTTGATATCTTAAAATCTGCTGTCATTTATAGTTGATATGATCAGGCTTGTAAGTGAGCAATAGTTATGGCAAACATCTGTATAAATCTCTTTTTAGTTACTACTGGAATGTTATTAATGAAAGCAGGTTCCATTTTTTAAACTGGATATTAGAGAAGCAGTTAAAGTGAATATATACTGTTATATGGATTGTGAGTGTGCATGAATACATATGAAAAACTTGTGCACAGTACATAAATATATTATTTAAGGACTGAGAGTTTATGCACTGGAGACAAATTCCTTGTGTGTCCAATCATACTTGGCCAATAAAGAATAAAAGAATTCTAGTTGTCACTTTTCTTCTTGATCTCTTGCACATAGATCAATAGCTCTGTAGTACATAAGATTTAATCCTTGGCATCTCTAATTATCATTGCCTTTTTCTAGAGAAAGACTGGTATCCTTGTGTAATCCCATTTAGTAACCTCAGTTTTACTTGAGGTTGCAGTTACACTTCCTCTGTTTGGTATTTGTAATTCTTGGAGACTGGTAGGTCATTAATTCAGAGAAGATTATTTGTTTAAGGGGAAGGAAAAGAAAAATCTTCATGTCAAAACCATTTATGATGACATGCCCAACAGTATTCCTTGCTTTATTGGTACATATGCTGCCAACATTAGCTTTCAGTCCATGTGGATTGAGGCCTTAATGTCCATCTAAGATACATTTTTGGGATTCCTCTTGGTGATGGGGACGGACTCTGGGCTCCCATTACAACTTCAACTTAATTCAACCAATGCCAGAGTTGAAGAATATTTCCTATACATAAACACTTGGAGGGCTTAGTCAAATGATAGAAAAAATTACACTAGTTATGGTGTGGCTGTAAACGGGTTAGTGAGAGTAAGACTACATCCATGTCCCGCACAAATACTAATTGAATCCAATCATGAGTTCCTAAAAATTCCAGGAATTGTAGGATAAACAAGCGTGGGAATATATGCTTTTGTTTTCTGCTGTTGACAAGAATGTGTTATGTCCACAATAATGAACGCAATGGTTGTAATGTATCAGTTGTTTACCTTAATCTCCCTATATTTATATTGGGGACAAATTATAAAGATATATTCTGAAAATGTGTTCTGAAGACATTTTTTAAAATTGTAATGGCTTTTTTTACAGAGCCATAGAGGTACTCCTTGTATTACGATCACAGTTGAGCTCAAAATTTCTGTTGTTAAGTGAGTTTTGCCCCATGTTATGACTTTTTGGCCAGAGTTGTTAAGTGAATCACTCAGCTGTTAAGTGAGTAGCCCTGTTGTTAAGCGAAACCGGCTTTACTATTGACTTTGCTTGTCAGAAGGTCCCAAAAGGGGATCAAATGATCTTGGGACACAGCAATAGTCATAAATATGAGTCAGTTGCCAAGCATCTGAATTTTGATCCCATGATAATGGGGATGCTGCAAAGGTCGTAACTGTGAAAAAAAAACCAACCACATAAGTCACGTTTTTCAGTGCTGTTGTAACTTTGAACAGTCCCTAAATAAACTGTTGTAAGTTGAGAACTACCTGTATTTTTAGTCCTGTTTGAAGCGTTCTCTGCAGTTTTGGTTTCTTTATTTTAGATTACTTTGCTTATTTCACTTAACTGTTGATGCACCCTTGGGGGTCTGCTCAGATGATGCTTCAGTATGGTAGTTGATGTTAGTGGAAGGGGTTCCTTTAAATTCATTTGATTCATTCTCCCTAAAGTAAGGGGAAGCATGAGGACACCATGGGATAACATGTTGATCTTCACTTTGTGTCCCTTGTGTTCATGTAATTCTGAAGGGAAGTTATCTTGCAGGCACATGGAACCTATCTGAAGTTTTGAGGCTGTATATTTTTCTGCTATGCTGCTTCCTTCCTTCCCCTATTTTTATGGCTCTGGAAGGAAGCAGCTGTTTGTTCTTTGTGCGTAGATATTAGGATTGAACCTTCTTGATGTACAGTATTGATCTTTTGTAACTAGCTATGACATAGACATTTTAAGATGGACTAGAACAGGAAGGTCACATCAAGAAGGATAATTCACTGTATCTTAAGTCCTGGCACCATGATTAAGCATTGCTCATAGCCCTGTTACGTAAACACCAAATGGGGTGTGTAAGCCAGGTAAGGAAGTAGAGAATGTGAGCAATTTGCTATATTGCTGGATAGTTGAGCAATAACATGGAGTATGCATGAATGGAAGAGTAATTCTCTTACATCAGCTTTTGAAAAAGCTTAAAGCTAGTATCCAAGTGACTATTGTTTCTTTACCTTTTTGTTGTATAACAAGAAAGAAGTAAAGACTTATTCAAATACATAAGAAGCAGAAGTTGGCATAACATACTTTTCCCCATAAATAATTAAACAATGTATTATTGGCAGAGAAGGAAGTTCAGCTAAATGCCAGCAATAGGCCAAAAAGACCTTAATATCATATCATTAAAATAATTGATATAGTACTTTCCTTTCTTATTATCTGCTCTTAGCTAGTAACTACTCAAATGCTGTACCATGAATTAGCCAAGTATTAATATGTTCTGCCGCACTGTAGTGTTTTGTGCTATAAGATTGAGGATTCTACGATGCATTTTTTTAATTCCTTTTGTTTAGCTTGATACTTGGAGTACAGTTAAAAAAATGGGAGCATGTTGTTCCTTTCAAAACATTTTAATAAAGTATTCTGAATAATGTCCCCATAACTAATGAGGTTTTGTTTAAGTCACCATAACCTTTTGTTTCTATTTACATAATTTTGATGGATTATGAATTATCTGAAAACTTTTTCACCTATGTTAGAACACTTATTACTGTCATTTTAAAATATGATTAAATATAGAATATTCTGAAACAAATAGGGAGGCAGTTATTCAAGCTTCTTGGTGATAGTCTTTTTATTCATTACCATGTCAGTGTCATCTGTATTAAATATGACCTCTAATGTTTCCATCTCTTAACCATGTCTTATTTGACATCTCTTTTTTATGTGTAGATTCATCTTCTCCTTAATGCTTGTTTTAATTAGGATTTAATATTAGTGTTTAAGTTGATAGTGACCATCGTCTCTTATTGTTACAATATACATATGCAATACACAATATGCATACAATATGCATTACAGAGCTCTGAATTCTGACTCCCGAAAGATAAAATATTTCTGGCTCTCAGTTAACCACAACACCTTGATTTACTGAAGTCTCCTAAATATATGGTGAGAAAGTATCAGCCCTGGGAGGTACTCCAGACAAGAATCCATGAGGACTAACAGTACTTTTATTGCAAGGCTACAGGAAAGAATTTTGCAAGTCTGAAAATGCATCTCTTCCTCCTCGCTTTTACAGCTCAAGCAACTAGGGAGGGTCACTTCTGAGACATTTGTCACGTTCTACTGCTTCTGTAAGCT